CAATTTGTTAAGTTTTTTGAGCTCTGCTTAGAAAAAACTTTCAGGCACCTTGGATACCACATGGGCCAATCATATTTCATTGTTTTAAAAATTGAGTGAAATTTTGTTCGATCATGGTAGTTGCGTTCTAGCACTACTAGTGATGGGATATGGATTTATTTTAGATAGACTAGTCATAAGTCATCTGATGCTAGCTGGCTTATTGAAGATGAATCGCCAACGACTATTGTTCATGAAGACAGATTTTAACCAAAACTTTGTTTAGTATACTCTTTAAATCAAATAGTCCTCAGTGTAGATAAAGGCAAGACTGTAGGTCGCAAGTATTATATTGAAAATTGTCCGAAGCCTTTTGTTAATGAAATATGAAAACAAGCAGGGATATCAGGGCCAAAATGTACAGAATTGCTTGACGATCATCGTTGACTCCATACTTATCCAATGTTATTAATTATATGACAGAAGAAGGCATCAATATAATGTCATATCCATCATATTCACCAGGCCTGATACTATGTCATTTTTGGCTAAGCAATTCTATTGAGCGTAGTTTAACTAATTAAATAAATGAAATATGATTAGTTCATGTGGCATCCAAGGTACCTGAAAGTTTTTTCGAAGCAGAGCTAAAAAAAACTTAACAATTGTTAGAAAGGATTCAACTCGATATATATATATATATATAATCATGGCAGCTATCATCAACATGTAATAAAATATAACTCGAACTTTCTCTTTTTCTTTAATTTGATTTTTTTAATTGCAGCACTTTTGGTCAGACCTAAGCGGATAGAGAAATCTTTCTTCTATCGCAGCAATGAAAAACTAATTTCAACGGACACTGTGGAGAGGAATTATGATTGTTTTTCTAAAAAAAGCAAAAAAACTTGTGATCGAATTAGGGTTAACCACTTTAATATAGTTCGTTCTCCAATCTTGAACACTGACAATTAGTGGGTATCTTGATTTTTGATGTCAAAACAAATTACTTTTGCGGCGAAAACAAATAAGAGTATCAGATTTTTATACCTAAGAATTCATTTCTCTTAATGATTTCCTCATACTAAATTTTTCATTCAACCCCAATTGAAAATTGTATGTGTTAGTAATAAATAAAACACCATGACATTTAAGAATAGAATAATGATTATCTTTTTCTATTGACGTCCTTCATTATGAATTGAAAGCATTATCAGTCAGAGCATTTAAGCAGTCTAGATTAGTAATATGCTTAGTTCACCATGCAACTTATCAACAGAAAAAGATGATTTGAACGATTTTCATGATTCTCTTAGTTATAATTAATTTTTCTTATGATATAAAAATAGGTTGTAAATAATATGTATTACTCTAATATAAAATTAAAAGAAGTCTCAAAGGAATTCCCCTGGTTTCATTCCGTCATAAAATTAGAAAGATTTATTAAAAGGAAATGATTATGTCTATAATGTTGAGAATATTCATAGAATTCAAGTTCAATAAAGAATTATTAAGAAAGCTTCCGATGCGTCCCCTTGGTTAGAAAATTGGTAATTGAAACAACAATAATAATAACTTGCTATATTTAATCTGTGCTCGATTATTCGAACAATCTGGTATATATGAGAACAATTCAAGTAAGCGTTTAAAAATCTCTACCTCGAAGAAAAATTTACGACATCAATTATCCTCGTATGTAAACATAATCAAATGCTTGAGAAAACGCTTAGACTTCGTATGCAACAGTTTACCATAGTTCAGTAAGAAGCACAATTCGAATCGTCGTAGTATAATTCCTAAGGTAGCTTTAATAAAATTCACTGCTGCAAAAACTCTATCCAAGTTTATCAACATATTCGTAGAGGGCAATGACAATTGAACATTTTATTCTTTTTAAATGAACTGTAAACGAATAGATTAGTGGTTAACGTGTGACTTTAACAAATATCAACATTTAACGTAATTTAAATAAAAATAAACATTGTTGTTGTCGTCTTGTTTTAATAAAAATTAACCACAGGGATTTAATTCATTTCTCTTCCTACTAGGCTACTAAACAGTTATTATTCTATGTGAAGGACATCAGAAAATGTCATCCCTCATTAAAGATTTCAGGAGTATTATTTCCACAATAATAAGAGACAACATGTTCTAAAATTAATGAGAATCTCATCTAAAATAGGTTATTATGGCCTAAAAAAATATTAGAAAAGGTTCACTATTTCCTCCGTCAGAAAGTTAAGAATACAGTTTCAATTTTTTTTCTACATATTGAAATCGGTGTCGGTTTTGACATTTTTAGGATTGTATCACAGTTTCGAGTGTTGAGTTGCTTTTATGATGTTTATCAGTATTAAAGATACGTATTCGTAACTGTCGATTTCGGTCAACTTCGTTTTCAAGTCAAGCCAACTGGTGATAAAATCTTAGTTCGATCCTGACTTGTTGATAGCATTATTCTATAATATATATAATACTGTCTATCTATTGATTAATATTACGAAGGCTAGTAATCTTCTCTCAGCAGCTGTCGTCAAATTTAATCAAAAATTATTTTCGTTACTTCTATCAAAACCAATTATTGGTAGAAATCGCGTACCTGTGTGACAATTATGCTAATCGATTTTTCAGTTTACTGTGAAGAGAAAAAGCAACATTCGTTGATAAGTGATGTATTACGTACCATTTCTGATTTATTTAAATTCAGTTCACGATAAAACATAGAATTGTTAATGAATATACGAGTGATCTACTCGTATAGGCAAACTTGTAGCTTGAATCATAAAAAGTAATTCTTTCAAAATCGTGCAGATAAAAGTCAGGCTTACCTTCGGCATATCGCATGGTGATGAATAATGGTGCGTTGATAAGCAGGAAAAAACATAAAGGTTCATCAATGCAATTTCGATCTATTCGGCATTAGTACCCGAATGTAACGGCGAAAAAAGTAATAGGTATAGCTGATATAGCTTTCATTAACTACCGAATTAAGCCTATATTTTGTAATATTAGTATAGTTGATTTTGATATAAACCATACTGAACTATGCATAGAAAAATTCAGAAATCAGCACCATGATTGATGTGCCTCGAACGATACCAATAGCAATAGTAGAAGAATGTGCAGAAAATTATTGATCTTATGATAGTTAAACAAAAATATGCTTCTACACAGATTGTAACGATAATGTGATACATTACAAGACAACGAAGGTTTGCAGAATAGGCACACTATCGCAAAAGAAAAACAAAATGTGTTGGCTCATGAACATATCATTATGAATCGAGAAGTGTGCTCATTTGATACATGTATCCGATTTTTTTTCTTATCTTCGATGTTATCGTAGATTCAAATCATACTTTGCATTTCCTATGCAAGCTCGATAGTTTCATTTCTCGTTTAAACGAATTTTTTCTGACTTTCCACTCTCGAGACCATCGTTTAGAGGAAAAACAATATTTATTCCTTTTGTTCTACTCCTGCTCTCATCGACAAAAGTCATTCAAAAAAATGATGTAGGTCAGTCAGAGAAACTCTCATTGAGTTTATTGAACGTTAATTTATTTAGGATATGAATACATTTGAATTGTTTTTCATAATAGAATCCTGTTGTTTTAATTATTGAGTCATGCATTTCTATTTTGAACAGTACTGCATGAATTCAAAAACGAAATCCAGCGCAACTAAAGAATGAATGCAATGGCAACATATGGGAGGTTAAGTTCTTATGTCACAAGTGCCCTAAAAAAACACACTTGTCTTCATGGATACTCGGTTGTGTCAATTCGCATCTGTCACCAATAAACAGAACGATACTATTATTGGAAGAATCAATAGGTGGCTTTTTCCTCGTATTTTTAAGGAATTTCTAAAAGATCATCTTCTCTAGTGCAATAAATAAATATCGATATATCTACTATTGTATCGCTAATCGCAATTGTTTTAATGTAAAAAATGTCGTATCAATATATCTTTAGGGTATCTAGTTTAATTCTTGAATTAAAAATATAGTATATTTATTTATTCAATCGCTAAGAAGTTTTTTTTCTTCTTCAAGTGGACATCTAACGATAATTGAATTGCTTCATATTTTGAAAGTTCATCGAAACTAACTAACGAGATGCTGAGAATTGCAGATACTAGCGGCATTAATACGATTGGTGATTTTTTAACAAATAAATAATTGCACGAGTCGCTCGCTGAAGAAACAAAACAAACTAACTATATATCTGATACGCGATTTACAGAATAAGAAAGAAAAATACTGTTAATTCGTTTAGTTTATGACAAGACGACGTTAAACAACTACATTCTTATTCGAGATTCTTGCTATTGAATAATCTATGATCACAAATTTTTAATTTACCTTAAGAATTCGTGAAATATGAATAAAATTTCTCTATAAATCTATCGTTAATCATGCCGTTAACAAGTTTATCTGACGTTGTTCCAGATCGAACCAATGTTTTACATTCAACGGACAAACTTGGTCTTGATGGTCAACGAGGTTTATATCATTCAATGGCGATAATAATCCTTATTGTGTGGTATATTTCATCGGCGGCAACATTATTTTCAAATAAATATATATTAAGTCATTTGGATGGTGACACTTTTTCATTAGGTATTGAAATAGACACATCTACTATGTTCCGCTTTCAACTAAAATTTCGAATTTCTTTTTGCAATTTAAGGCACAATTCAACTTGTTATTTCCATAATTAGTGGTTATATACATTTACTATTTGTAAATAAATTTCGTAATCCATTAAATAGAAATTCAATGGTGATGAAAAATGTATACCGTGATATGATATTAATCGGCGCATTTCGTTCTGTGACTATTGTTTTAGGTTTAATTGCTCTGAAATATATAGCTGTATCATTTGTAGCAACAATAAAATCTTCTTCTCCGTTATTTACCGTTATTATTAGTCGAATTATACTTGGAGAAAGAACAAGTAAGAAACATTTTTTTGTTAAATAATTTTTAAGAATAACTGTTCTCTTGTATTTTAGCTCATTGGACTAAATTTTCAATGATACCAATCACACTTGGCTTATGTTTATGTAGCTCATTTGAATTAAGCTTTAATTTAAGTGGATTTTTGTGTGCATTAGGGACAAATATATTTGATTGGTAAGAGATGATTATACTGTTATTTTGTAGAAATAGTACCAACGACGGAGCCTGCTTCAGAACTTAGACTATAAGCGAAGACAATTCTTCAAGTGAAAGCTTAGGTCACAATAGATTTTTTGTCTGGCTCCATCATTAATTTGTAGTGAAGGTTAGAAACAAAGCTCATCAATTCTTGAGTTTTCCATATTTAGCATGCGACCGTTTGTCTCTCTCTGGACCTATATTCTGATTAATATAATTCGATTTGAACCATAGAATAATTAACTGTACTGTTTAATTCCGGTCTCGCATATCTCTAATCGTGACAGACGAAACATTGCAAGTTTCGAGTCCGAGAGTAATATTGATTTAATTTAATCTGATAAATCGAACAGATATGAAAATTCACTGATTTTTTTCCACGATTCGAATTTTCTTTTTATTTCAGTTTACAAAATGTTTATTCTAAATTGTTAATAAGTGGTGAACATTATCGTTATACAGCTATCGAATTACAATTTTGGGCTAGTCTTTTAGCATGTATTTTTCAATTACCTTTACTTATTTATTATGTTGATATTCCGTTAGCATTAACATTAACTTCGAAAACATTAGCTCTTTTATATATTTTCAATGGATTTTGTTATCATATACAAGCCGTCGCTGCTTTTGCTATCATGGCTTACATATCGCCAATAACACACAGGTAAAATAGAAACGATGCCTCGTCGTATTATTTACAATTTTCGTTTTTTTTTCTACTAGTGTTGCGAATACTATAAAGCGTGCATTAATGATATGGATATCAATTATTATATTTCATAATCCGGTGACATTTTTAAGTGGTGCAGGAACATTTATTGTTATGCTTGGTGTGATTCTATACAATGAAGGAAGAGATGTAGAGAAAAAACCTAGAATCGTAAATATTGATAGTCCGACAATGATTACATGGCGACATGTTTAAACCGACGATAAAAAGGCGAGTTTCATATGATAGTATTCTAATCGACAAATTAATGTATAATCACAACGAATATTATCATACCCAACAGACTATATATTTATTATATTCGCATTGAACGTTTTTTGTTTGACATTTGTAATCGACTTTATGCACATTTACGTGAATTTATTTGTTAAATCACAACGATATTGAAAAATAACGATAATAAATAAATAATGTTTTCAATACAAAACTACGTATTTAAGCTTTTATAAAAGAAAAAAAAATGTGGCATTATTATTAGAAGTCATTCAGAAGATAAATGATGTATTGAAACAATAGACAACAAGGAAAAAAGTGATGCCAACTAATATACTATAAACCTGTTATTCTAGTTCTTTCAGTGCATTTTACAGCGAATCAAATTATTGATGAGTGCTATTTCTCTATCGTATTTTATATTTTCGAGGTCAAATATAAAAATGGGTAGTGACTTTTGACTAAAAAAAGATGCTAACTTTAACATGAAAGGCAAGTCATTTCTATTCACTATAACACTCAACTGTATTGTATAGCACAAATCCATTTTTTTGTTGAATATTTTTAACAAATAATTCTCAACACTACTTTCAATTAATTTGATCTTTTTGTGTACTCAAAAAGAAAAGAGTACACTATAGAATCGGACAGTGTGTCCGGCCGTCCGTTTATTCGATAACTCTTCACAATTACATTCGATTGAGCTGAAATTTTGCGCACAGAATTATCTCATCAATATCTAGGTCGAGTTCGAAGATGAGAAGGATCCGTCAAGAAATGGTTGAGTTGTCGAAAAAATTGTCATTTTTGATCAGACCATCCCTGAGGAGGGGTACAGAGATTTTTCAAAAAAAACTTTTTTTTCTCAGAATTATCAACAACATATAAAAATCGAGTCAGTTTTTAACGCTGATTCTAAATCTGATATTAGTTTTGAACTAAGTCATAGCTTTCTAACGAAACATCGCCTGAAAAACGTCTCAAAATGCACAAAAACTGCATCCAGAAATCAAATTGCCTAGTTTCTCATGATAATTTTCGTGTTCAGACAGTCTAGAATGACTCATATGTCGCATGCACTTTTTGCAGTACACATAACTCTCGAATGAAATCCGAAGTTTCCACATTTTTTTAGCATGTATTTTATCAAAGTTCGCTTTCTAACACCTGTTTTATCGCCAAACAGTCATAAGGTTATTACAAACTACTGGAGTATTTGCGTCATCAACACATTCTATTGTGAATATTTGTGACATCTATATTAGTCATATAGAAAATTTCATGTTGCATTGAAAAGAAAAATTTTATTTCTTCCTTCTAGGCAAAGATATTCAGTGTCAAATATAGGGCTCTTGCGTTCTTCTCCAATTCACTCTCTGCATAATCTGTTTTTCAACCCTCTATTTTCTCTTACTTTTTTTTATACGCAGAATAAATCAACCTCGTTATATGCCAATGCATTAGTTGTTATTGCTATTTAGTCTTGCAATCTTATCTGCAGTCATTTCATAACGTTGGTGAAAACTTGTCAGTCCCTCTACACAACCCTTCTCCTTCTATTTCACATACACAATATTTCCTAATTGTGTTGACATTCTCACCTATACATAAAAAGGACTTCTTCTACTGCCGTCATTCTGTTTCAGATTCGCATTACTAGTAAAGAATAAAAATGGCTGATCCAAAAGTTACCGGTGGTATGAATATTTTAATTCTTTTGCATTACGATTCAATCCTCGTTGTTTTTTTTTCTTCTTTGAATTTTAGTTTACCGAGTTCCTCCTTTCTACTATCTGCATGTACTTGATCAAAATAAAAATGTAAGCCGACTTGAAGTTGGCCCACTCACATTTGTTAAACAAGATCATGAAAAAGTCCTCGTTGGGCCAGAACGCATGATAATAATTCCGTATGTTGAAGTTGTTTTTCTTTCTTTGATTTCATTAAAAATTCTATGCATAACTAATTATCTAGTCCTCGTCATTATTGCGTCGTTGAAAATCCAGCTGTTCGTGATAAAAATGCGAAAGTTGTTATTGATTCTAATGGTCAAGTTAAGTTGTTACATTCGGATGTTGATATTCGATTTGCTCAAGAGCCATTTCCACTCTATCCTGGTGAAATACTCAAACAAACTGTAACACCACTGAAAGTTATTGAGCCTAACTGTGCATTACGCCTTCGTGCGGTTTTGGATTTTATTGATGAGAATGATCAACAGATACGTGCTGGAGATGAATTTCTCTTCTGTGGACCAGGTAAAACAGCAAAAAAAATATGCTAAATTTTTTAATGTTAAACATGTTCGAATAAATTTATTTCTAGGAACTTATCTGCCACGTAAAGAAGTTAGCGTTGAAGAACAAATAAAAGCTGTTATTCTGAAATCAAACGAAGCTGTTCGATTACGTGCAAAAAAAGAGATGGTTGACCGCGATGGAATTGCACGCGAAACAGGCGAAGAATGGCTTAATCGTACTATTGGTTCATACTTACCATTAGCTTACGAAGAAGTTGTTTCAACAGTTAAAGCCTATGTACTAACTGACAAAGTATGTGTTCTTAGGAATCAGTCGTCTTTTTTCATGATGTATTTATTTCATTGTCCTTTTTTTTCTTCCAGAAAGCTCTTCATTTACGAGCATTGGGCACATTTATTGATTCATTCAAACATAAACGTCTCAATGGAGAAGAATGGCTTGTATATGCCTCTGATGCTGAAACATATATTCCAGATGTTTTTGAAGAGGTAGATATAATTAAATATATTTATTTCATAGATGAAAAATAATGAATAAAATATTTAGGTTGTTGGTGTTGTAGCAGTAACTGTATTAAATTCTCGTCAATACGCTGTTATTATTGATCCTGTTGGTTCAGATGGTAAACCACAACTTGGAAAGAAAAAGCTTGTTAAAGTATGCTAAATTAAAATCATGTGAATTTTAAATTAAAATCTTTCGATTTTTTCTAAAGGGAGAAACAACATTCTTTCTTCAACCCGGTGAAAAATTAGCTAAAGGTATTCAGGATGTCTATGTTCTGGAAGACGATGAAGGGCTCATTCTTCGTTGTACTGAATCATTTAAAGAAGATGGAGTAAGTTAATACTTTGTGTGAAATTTTTATTTATCAATTGTATCCGATTGTTTTTATAGACGGTACTACGTAATCCCGGTGATCGTTGGATGATCCGAGGGCCCAAAGACTATATTCCAGCTGTAGAATCGGAAGTAGTACTCCGACGTAGAGCTACACCATTAGATGTCAACGAAGGTATTTATGTTCGAGATGTTAAAACTGGTAAAGTTCGATCAGTCATTGGCACTACATATTTATTGACTGAAAATGAAGAACTTTGGGAAAAAGAATTACCCGCCCAAGTTGAACTACTTCTCAATCAAGATGCTCGATGTTTTGATGATAAATCAGCACAAAAAGCAACTATACCACCAAGAGATAAATCGAAAGTAGTTGCCTATCGAGTTCCACACAATGCTTGTGTACAAATTTATGACTTCAAATCTAAGAAAGCACGCATTGTTTTTGGCCCTGAACTTGTTATGCTCGGGCCAGATGAGCAATTCACAATATTGAATTTATCCGGTGAAAAACCCAAAGTACCAAATAAAATTCGAGCTATTTGCCTTTTAATGGGACCCGAATTTTCAAGTGATATTGTAACAATCGAATCAAGTGATCATGCTCGTCTTTCACTCAGACTTTCATATAACTGGCATTTTGAGGTAAGAATTATAAGAGTTTACAAAGAAAAGAGAATGAAGTCTTTGTTTTTTTTTTTACATTATTTTAGGTTAATGATTGTAATGATCAAAAAGAAGTTACAAAACTTTTTTCAGTACCAGATTTTATTGGTGATTTCTGTAAAGCTGTAGCAGCTAAAATCCGTGGTACTGTTGCTGGTATTTCATTCGATGATTTTCATAAGAACTCAGCGAAAATCATTCGAACCTCAGTATTTGGTCTTGATGAAAATAAACATGTGAAAAAAAGACTAGTATTTCCACAAAATAGTTTGGTTCTGACATCGATTGATATTCAAAGTGTTGAACCAGTAGACCAACGAACACGAGATGCTCTTCAAAAGAGTGTTCAATTAGCTATTGAAGTAAGATGATAAAATACAATTGGTTGAGCTGTGATGTTTAACTTCAATCTATGTCATTTTTTAGATTACAACAAATTCACAAGAAGCCCAAGCGAAGTATGTTTAACAAAAAATGAACTTCAAATTTTTATTTGCTTCGTTTTTCCTATAGACATTTAGCTTCACGCACAGAACAAGAAGCAAAGGGTCATTTAGAACGACAAAAAATTGCTGATGAAGCAGAAGGTAGAGTTTTATTTTATGTGAAATTGAAATTTTAAACATTTTCATTTTTATAGCTGAAAAGGAACGACGAAAATTATTAGAACTTCAAGCACTGTCATCTGCTGTTGAAACCACCGGTCAATCACGTGCTGAAGCTCAATCAAGAGCAGAAGCAGCTAAAATCGAAGGTGCAGCTGCCGTTGATCAAGGTATGTCTCATATTGAACATCTGTATCGATATAGATATTATATGTTGTCTTTTCTGTTTTTCAGCTACACTTCGTGCACAAGCGTCAAAGATTGAATCTGATGCTGAACTTATACGTTTAACACAAGCACGTCAACTTGAATTACATTATTCAACATCGACGACTAATTTAGAAATTGAAAAAGCAAAACGACTAGCCGACATTGAAATTTCCGAATTCAAAGAGCATGTTGCTGCTATCGGTCCAAAAACTATTCAAGCTATTGCTACTAGCGGACTCGATAATCAAGTAAGATTTTATCTTAATAAGAATTCATGCTACACTTTACTAACTGCTTGATTTTTTTCTCATTATTCAGGTTAAACTTCTCCAAGCTCTTGGTATTAAGTCAACTTTGATCACTGACGGACGCAGTCCAATTAATCTTTTCAATACTGCCGTTGATTTAGTTGGCGCACCACAAAGACAATAAAACGATTGAGAACAAATCAATCAAGAAAAAACAAAAACTCATAAAATTTGAATTTCTATGTCCAGTTTTAGACACAAGACATTAGTCAGATTCTTAAAATAAAAACACATGTTTTTTTGTAAGAAGGACAGAACATTGTTTTATACTTATTATTTTTAATATATGTATGTGACCTCAGAATATAGCTTTTTCCATTCGAAAAATAAAATAATTTAATAAAATTTGGTATATATATATATGTTAATTTTATTGAAGTAATTGAGAAAGTTGAGTATGATACATAAAAAAAAATGATATTCTACCTGAAATGAAATCATTTTCAACGCTAACACAAACGCAAAGGCTCGATTGATTCTAGGGAAATATGAGTTTGGGAAATGCGAATGAATCAGATTCGATTTAATTTAGTATTCACCAAAACATTTAGCTTCTATTCAAATGACATTTTAAATGTACTAAACAAAACAAAACACATTTGGGAAGAGTAAATCTTAAGAGGGCGATTTCTCAAGTGTGACTAAGCCAATGCAACGAACATTCTAACAAAAGATAAGCTCCGACGAGCCTCCGAAAATTGTCCCCCAACTACTAATAACTTTGCTGAGTGGATCTTTATTTCAAGTGAAGTATTTGTAAATTAATGGAAGTATGAGATTTTCATCTATGTTTTCTGCCGACGACTCAACAAATCACGAAAGTCGCTCTTACACTCTTAGGTTGTTTTTTCGAACTGAAATACGAAATTTCAATTTAAAATAAATTCACGTATCGCAATGAATTTTCGAGGTATTCACAAGCCATAAAATAAAAACATCGAAATTGTCAAGGTGAAGTAAAGAAATGCATCGCCATGGGGTGCCTATTTTTGACGCACCTTTTAATACATTTGAAAAGAGCTAGGAAGTAGATAATAAATAGGCAGTGAAAAAATTGTTTCTTATGATGATCATCACAGTTTATTATTCATACATGAACTACACAATAAGTAGAGTGCACTTATATAGTTAAATTATTAATACGAAAACAAGAAGGGACGGACAAAAATTATTGTTTTTCGTCAACAAAAAGCAAGTTTTATCTAATAATTTTCTTCAATGCATTAATTAGGTGCTCCACCCGCATTACTAATTGTATTTGCATTTAAACCACCTAAAAGTCCTTGCCCAAAACCCATTAGATTGATAGGTGAATGGCCATCAGTAACCAACATGGACTGAAGACCGAGGGCTTGCAAAAGTTTAACTTGTGTATCTGGACCTGAAGTTGCAATGGCTTGTATTGTTGATGCACCGATTGATTCAATTTGTAATTTGAATTTGTCGGTTTCAATACGTGACATTTCAGCTTTTTTAGTAATTTCTAATTCATTCTGTTCACGTAAATAGTTAATTTCAGCTTCTCGTGCCAATTTTAAACGTGATATTTCAGCTTCGGCTTCAATTCGCGCAGCGTCAGCCCTGAGACGAGCTAAACAAATGAAAATTCATTTGTTCAATTGCATTGGAGAAATAAAATAAAATATCTATACCTTGTTCAACAGACGCTCGTCCTTCAATGAGAGCAGATTCGGCTCGACTTTGTGCTTCGGCTTTAGCTTGACCTGTGACTTCAACAGCCGATGATTCAGCTTGTAACAGGAGAAGTTGTTTTCGAACCTCTTCAGCTTCAGCATCATCTTTAATACGTTGACGTTCTAGTAAACCTTTTGCTTCTTGTTCTCGACGCGAAGCTTCATGCTTAGCAGCAGCTTCTTGTGAATTTGTTGTAATCTAAAATGCAGACATACACGAAAATTAATCACCACAATTCAATCGATTGTCTTTTATCTTACTTCAATGGCTAATTGAACACTCTTCTGAAGAGCATCTCGCGTTCGTTGATCAACTGGTTCAACACTTTGAATATCAATCGATGTAATGACAAGATTGTTTTGTGGAAAAATAAAGTTATCTCGTATTTTTTGATTTGCATCAAGACCAAATACAGACGTACGAATAATTTGAGCTGAATTCTTATGAAAATCATCAAATTGTGTACCAGCAACAGCACCACGAACACGTGAAGCTATAGCTTTAGCTGCATCACCAACAAAATCTGGTACAGAAAAAAGTTTGGATGCTTCTTTGTCGTCATCAATATCTGATATTTCAAAATGCCAATTGTATGAAAGTTGAAGTGAAAGACGAGCATGATCAGCAGTTTCAATAACAATCACATCAGTAAAAAAATCTGGTCCAAGAAGTAAGCAAAGTGTTTGAATTTGATTTGGTTTTTTTGGTACACTGCCACTCAATGAAAGTAATGTAAAATGCTCATCGGGTCCAAGCATAACAAGTTCAGGGCCAAATATAATACGTGCTTTCTTAGCTTTATAATCATAAATTTGTACAGCGGCATTGTGTGGTACACGATAGGTAACTAGTTTTGATTTGTCACGTTTGGCAGCATTTACGTTTGAACTTGTTGCTGTTGTTGCTGCTTGTTGTTGAGATTGATTTTTATCTGATGTTTGACTTCGTGTGAGAACATTTCGTTCACTTAAAGCATCACGAGACAATAGTTCTTCAACTTTCTTAGGTAATTCTTTTTGCCATAATTCTTCATCTTGTGTTAACATATAAGTTTCACCAATGACGGCGCGGACACAACCAGTTTTGATATCACGAACATAGATACCTTCATTGGCATCCAATGGCAAAGCTTTTCGACGTGTAACAACTTCAACTTGTGTTGGAGGAATATATTCACTAAAATTTACAAGAATAATATTAATTTAGACCTTTCATAGAGACATTAAATATCTTACGTTGGACCACGAATCATCCAACGATCACCGGGATTTCGATTAACATTAGCTTGCGTATCTTTAAATGCTTCAATACATTTTAGAATAACACCTTCATCTTCACCTAAGATAAACACATCTTGAATACCATTTTGAAGTTTTTCACCGGGTTGAAGAAAGAATGATTTTTCACCGACAACAAGTTTCTACGAAAGAAAACAAAATCAACATAATTAATCGCTCTGATTTCATTGAGATAAAAAACTTGCTTTTTTCCCTAATTGTGGTTTTCCATCAGCAACTGGATCGATTATAACACAATATTGACGTGATGTCAATGTTACTACATTAACAACAGAAACTAATTGTTCATAGACACTAAGAATGTGTGTTTCAGTGTCAGCAAGTGTTACAAGCCATTCTTCACCATTCATACGTTCTTTACCGAATTCATCGGTAAAAGTTTTTAATGCACAAAGATGAAGAGCTTTTTTATCGGTTAATACATAAGCATTTTCTACTGAAACCACAGTTTCCTAAAAATAACAAGATTTGCATTTCGCATACCGACGAGATTTCGCACTTACATATGCAAGTGGTAAATATGCACCGGTCTTTTTAATTAACCACTCTTCACCAGTAACACGCCGTTGGCCTGTACGATCAACGATTTCTTTTTTTGCGCAAAGCCTTATAGCTTGATTAGACGAGATAACTGTAGCACGAATTTGTTCTTCAACGCTAACTTCTTTACGAGGAATATAAGTAGCTGGCCCTTCAAATAACCATTCATCTCCAGCCCGACGTTGTTCGCCTGCTGTTTCATCTTGAAAATCTAGGACAGCTTTTAAGCGTAACGCTGAATTAGCAGGAACAACTTTTAATGGAGTAACAGGCTTTAAAATATAAAAAGTAGTTTTGTTTTATTCTCAATAGAAAATGTTTAGTGTTTTTTTTTATACTTGACGAAGAATTTCACCGGGATAGAGAGGAAAAGGTGATTGATCAGGTTGTGAAAGACGAATTTCCAAGTCAGCATGAACAAGTTTCGCTTGTCCATTGCTATCGAAAATAACTGCGCCAGCATCATTGCGTACTACAGGTGATTCAATAACACAGTAATGACGGGGCCTAAAAACACATCCAAATTTTCACTTTCTTTCATCGTCTTTTCTTAGATTAACAATTATAAACGTACGGTACTGTAATCATTTTTTCTGGTCCGATGGTGACTGTTTCATTGTCTTGTTTAATAAATGTTTTGGGACCAATTTCAAGTCTCGTAACATTTGTATTTTGATCCAAAACATGAATATAATAATAAGGAGGAATTCGATAAAGTGGACCAGAATCACTTTTCTTATCCATAGTTGTTGCTTTACTCATTGTGTATGTGTTTGTAGAATGTTCGTATGTCAGTAACAATCTATAGTCAAGAAAAAAAAAACGTTGATTCTCTTTTATAAACTCAAAATATAAAGACTATGGTATTGCATGTTGAATGATTAAGTATTTTTCAAAGCATTGTGCAAGTTTGCCCCATGTCAGAGAAAGGAAGAAAAGAAAAACAAATATCGCGGTAAAATCTATATTTCACTCTCTTTTACATCTTGGTGTTCTTGCACAAGTTTTTATTTTTTCAAGCTTTTTGTTTTCAAGGCTATTTGCAGTGCAGAAATAGGCAAATATTTTGGAGGTTTAATTCAGCAGTGAATAGAATTGCGTTTGAAAAAGAAACCTCAGAATTACTCATTCTGATAAATTACCTAGAAATTACACCGAAATGAGAAACGAAGCAAATTTCAACCAAATATGCAACCGACAAAAACAAAAATTTATCAGTTTTACTTTCATAGATCAATCCAGAAGTGATTCTGAAAAATGTAGAGTATGACGTTTTTTTTACCAGAAGGTAGTAGTGTTGTAAAGAATTTGTTTTTAACCGAGCATTGCAAGCAAACTGCTGAAAGATAAATGGGGCATTTGCTTTTAAAGAAACAAAAAAGGTCATTCGTGGAAAATTTATCACAGATTATTTCAAACTGATGTAACTGTGATCATATTGAATGAAGATTCAAATCAATCGTAGTGCCACATCATTTTACAGTTTTTCTCAATCTACGCATTTTATATATACAATTGAGAATGATGCAAAAGAATTCTGAGCACAACAGATAAATAATTTTACAATAAGGATATTAAATGATGCATTGTCATACTAATGAGGTTTTGCTGTATATTGACAATGTTACTTGATCGTAGATACAAAATTGATCGTCGCTGTCGACTGCATCACATCCTGAGAACATCAATAGAAATCTTGTCTTCGATGGAATCACATTCCCAATGGAAAGATGTGCATGCAGATGTTTATTACTTCCGCACACTCAAGACGACGAATATCTTTCGAACTCGCTATCAACTTTTATGTTTATCTCAACTATCAACTCTGTCTCTCAATTACATTTGAGCTTGAAAAGAGGGTATCAGTGTGAATTGTTCTTATGTTGTTTGTCGTTGTAATATAACAATGGCGAGAAAATATAGTTTTCAAAAACTTCATATCGTTGCAAGAACGAGTAGTAGCACTTAAAAACAAGTCAAAGAAACAAGATAGACGAATAGTATTTGGCTTGAGTATATGACTTCGTGATTTAAAATACAATAGAAAATATTATGCAAACAGACCGAGATTTCATCATATTTTTATCGGGTTATTAAAGAAAAAGGTCATATAATGTCACTTTTCTTAGCTGACACAAGATAGTACCTCTTAGTTGTCTGCTTGCCAATTCTCTGTTGAGTTGATTACTCTTTATCGTTAGCCTATGTGAAAATAAATCTATAATCATATGTCTATGCACGTTATAATACACGTGTGAATAAATTGACATTGTTTTCAGAACAATGCCCCAATTTTCTACTTGGTGTATCAATGTGACTACCTGATTACTATTGGGTTATATTCTTCGAAGCTACATCACCAAGAGAACAAACAGCAATGACCTCTCTACCGATGCCAATAGATGATTCTCCGAGATTGGTTTACATTTTCAGTATGGTTTCTATTATTATCTTCCTACTGATTATCGTCTGCTATATCTCAATCGTTAGAGAGTGCTTAGAAGCAACACCTAGAAGAACACTGCCGACACCTCGATACTTTCAAATAGATGAGTATCCACAATTGATCAACTCCTATGCTGAGCAACCCCTCGGTCAACCCGTGGAATTCTAACGCCATCAGATATCACCCATAATCGATCTCAGCCAATATCAACAATGAATTTCGAAAACTTAAACTATACCGATAATATTATTCAGTTTATTGGTTGACAACTTTATTGAAATAGTTTATTTCTTGACAAGGATATATGTTGCTGATAAATGGGTGCCTAATATTGCTCTTTATACGAATGCTCCAATAACCGACTTCTGTCTTATGTTGTTCCACTTTTTGGTTAACTAGTGCACTAGTCTCTCCTTAATATGAAGAAGCTAAAAGCAGGCTCTTTAATTAAATGTTTCTTTTCTGATTGCTTTTAATCATAATCCAAACCTTATGCGATTGCAACCTATTTTCAGAGTGGTACACATCAAATAATTCGATTGAGCATTTAATGCGTGAGAATGGCATGTATATTCTCCGGTTAATGTCAACATTTTCTCAAAAATTGCCAGGATGAGTTTACATATTTCGATAAAGACAACTTCTTTCTGCAGATACAATTCAATTGTTATTGTTTTCAAAAATATGTTATACATAAAATTGACATATTCGTGTCGTAATGCGTATTTACCAAAAAAAATCCTTTATCATCTTTACGAGATCTTTCTAAAAACTGATAATGTTATTTGATCAAAGAGACAAAATTGGTCGTTGCTACCAACTGTATTACATCCCAGCGATACTGCTATAAATCTTGTCGTCGGTGGGATCATATTAACAAGTGAATGTTGATGGAATGACGATGTCAAATTTTTCATATGAACTTAAAATACAAGCACAATAACAATAGTGAATCATGAAAGCCCTACCGGCAACGACTTACTAAATACTGAACTTCCAAAACCAAATGAATTTTTATTTTGTGAAAAATGTACTGTCATCGTTAACGAATCTTTGTCATTTGGATTTTTCAATCCGAACCATCCAAATAAATTGAACATAGCTAGTTTTAAATCGATCAAACGAGAGAAGTTTTGAACGGACAAAAGTTGATAGTAGGTCATGTCTTTATCTATTTTGAAAAAGCAATCGTCTTCGACTTTAGACATATTCACTGGTAGGTTTGTTTGAAAATGAATAATATTTAGTGGTTCATTAGTGATGACACCATTCCAATGTGGCGTGACATTGAGATGACACTACAAAAAACGAAATGAAAAACACTCCACAACGGGATATATGACAAAACTAACTTCTGGCTCTGCTCGACCATGCATAAGCAAATTCTGTGAATTGATAATACTGAACGTGCCATCCGGTAAGCGAGTATTGAGCAAAATTACTGGCTTCAAGCCGAGAAAGGGTGGTGGATTCAATAAGGAATTTCCAATAACACTTTGATACAAATCAACATTTGTGAAATCTACATTCTGATAAACTCCATCACCAATGAATGATTGACGAAGATCAGCGCTCGTGAACTTTGCTTCATACATTTGGTTGTCACGAAATTTTGCCTTATTCAAATTGGCATTCTGAAAATTCGCAAGCGCAAGATTGTTCAACAGAAAGTTAGAACCAACCATTGACGCACTCTCAAACACTGCATATGTGAGAGTACAACCATCGAATATGACATTTTCTGCGATGACTCCAGGCAAATAAAGAAAGGAAAGATCACAGACTTGTGTCGAAGATTGCACAAGCTTCATTCCACTAAAATCCGCCCCACGTATATCAATTTTCGGTGTGATATCGTGTCGAATCAGACGACTTTCATACAAAAAAAGAAACACATCACGCTTACGGGTAGGGTCAAGATTTCTTAGGACCGTTAATGTTTGAACGCGAATTTGCAGAAGAGACTTGTTAATATTTTGTTCAAAATTTTCATCTAAAAGAAGATCTCTCATATCATCCATATATTCTTTGAAGAGAATCCTTCGATTCGTTTCATCGGCTTGTCTTTGATCTTGGTCACGTGTCGCCCTAGCCGCAGCATCTTGTTGTAACGTGAAGACAATCGTAAACACTCCAAAAACAATAGTTGGCAATGCAGCAAGTGTAAGCTTGAATATATTCATACATTTAATTGGCTTTGATTTCTTACGAGTCACCACATCAGATGACGTTTGTGCCGCAGATGATGACACGATTGAATTTCCTCGTGTGAAATCAAATGAACTGTTATCCATAGTTTGTTGAAAGATGAGAGCACGAAAAATTTCACGTATTATAATAAATTCAAGGTTGATAGTATCTAAAATCTATATTGTGTTGTGATTCGTTCGAACATACAAAAAAAGTAAAAAGAACCAGTTATTTATACCTGTGTGGGAAGCTTTATATTAACAGAATAGGCATTCGCAGCAAATTGAGTTTGACGGATGTCTATGATATCCTCTGAATCTGACCTCATCGTCAATTGTAACGTTTTCTATCACGAACTATATATTCCGAATGACGTACCTTTCACAATAGTTTTTCATAGAGTAGTCATTGTATCGATAGATAAAACAAAACAATCTCTCGACAGATCTAACAGCTTTGTAGAATGAGAAAAAACATCTTCTATCATTGGTCAAAAGCGATCTTTTGAAAAATGTCAATTTATTAGCATAATTCACAAGATCAGTGTTGAGTGGCTAATGACATTTCTATTGAAAGTAAATGAATTCAATGTGTTAGTCAAAATATCAAGATATATTGTAAAAAAAAAGTAGAACATCATCTAATGCATTGGATTAACATTTTTCTTTGTCATAAAAGTCGAAATTTCAATTGCATCTGATTAAAACTACCTGATGTGACAATACGAAACTAGGCTTTGTGCTCTTCTGATGAGTAGTATGGATACGATGAAATATTTTCTGATTTCGACACAAACATTCTGCTAACAGTTACTTTTCGGACATCTGAGAATCCTTGGATTATTTGATAATCTTCTCTCATGAACTAGGGAAAAGTCTACTGATGCCAATGCAATAGTAGCGATTGTTACAGTCATATTATTAGTCAACCCAAGATTCTTTGCAATTATGTCTACTTTTCGTATCTTGAAATTCAACAAATGGGTAGTGCACAGCAATTATTCAAATTGTATATTCTTCGAATAGCTGTAGGCAGTTAGAGACCTGCAGGTTGTAGATAAGTGTTCTGTTCTGCCCTAGTAGTACAGGGTAGATTGTAGGGTATAACTATTTTAATCTGCCAACCTGTAATTAACCTAATGTATTCCGTATTGTTGGTGTCTCGTCAGACCTATTCAGTAGGAAATGTTTGGAAGCCTGTAGCCTAGCTCGCCATTGATTGAGATCGGTCTCGGTCACGGTGCATCAAACCAGATGTGCCGCTACTATATACTTTATACATCTATCTACTAAGTTTTCCACATAGTTTAGTTTCTTAGTTGACCACTTTATTAAGATGATTTATTTCTGGACGAAAAAGTCCTTTGCTCATAAATGGGTACCTAATATTGCTATTTTTAGTCTTCTCCTATAACTGATGGCTGCCTTTTTGTGTACTCAAAAAGTGAGTACACTCTAGAATCGGTCAGTGTGTACATCCGGCCGGCCGGTCGTAGGCACGATAACTTTCGAAAGGAGAGTCAGATCGTGATAAAATTTTCCATACAGTTCAATCTCATGAATATCTCGGCCGAGTTCGAAGATGAGAAGGATCCTTCAAGAAATGGTTGAGTTATCGAAAAAATTGTCATTTTTGACCATACCATCCCTGAGGAGAGGTACAGGGATTCTTTTCAAAAAACAAATTTTTCCCAGAATTATTCACAACATATACAAATCGACTCAGTTTTTAACGCTGATTTCGAATCTGATATTAGTTTTGAACTAAATCGTAGCTTTCTAACGAAACATCGCCTGAAAGCCGTCTCAAAATGCACAAAAACTGCATCCAGAAATCAAATTGTCTAGTTTCTCATGATAAATTTGGTGTTCAGACATTTATTCTAGAATGACTCATATGTCTCATGCACTTTTTGCAGTACACATAACTCTCGGATGAACTCCGAAGTTTCCCCATTTATTCTGTTCTACTTTTTGTCCAGCCGATGCACTATTTTTTCATTGTTATCAAAAGACTAAACATATGTTTTTTACTGAAATATTTCTTTCATAATTGCTTTTAATCATTAACCAAAGCTTAGATGGTTATAATTTTTATCGTGGATTAGCTTTTATATGTGTACTTGGAGAATAGCCGCCAGCCTATTCATTCATCAATGTGAAAATTTTGTTTTCAACAATTGTGAGTAAGATCATATGACGTTTCGAGTTCGTAGCTACATTTCACAGAACTATAATATCTATGAAGGCATCGTCGTGTTGAGAACACACAGTAATTTTTTTATTTTTTTCAAAAGCATTGTATACATAAGATTCATTGTAATATCTACGAGGTCTTTCTTTAAATTGATAATTTCACTTGATCGAATAGACAAAATTGATCGTTACTACTAGACACAATACACGCCAGCAATAGCACTATAAATTTTGTCTTCTCCGGAATGATATTGACAAGAGAAAGTCGCTGGAACGATGTCAAATTCTTTATAACCACTTGAAATACAAGCAGAATAAATACAGTGAATAGTGAAAACTCGGTCGATAATGACTTACTAAATATTGAACTTGCAACATCAATTGAATTTCTGTTCGGTGAAAAATGTATAGTCACCAATAAGGAATCCATGTCATTTGGATTTTTCAATCCAAACCATGCTGATAAATTGAACATGGCTAATTTAAGATCAATCATATGAGAGAAGTTTTGAACAGATATGTGTTGGTAACTGGTCAGATCTTTATCAATTATAAAGAAACAGTCGTCTCCGACTTGAGACACGTTCGCTGGTACATTTGCTTGAAAATGAATAATTTTCATTGGGTCATTGTTCTTTACATCTCTCCAATGTGACGTGAAATTGAGATGGCACTAGAAGAAGCGCAATGAAAAATATTCTAAAACGCAATATTCTGTAAAACTAACTTCCGTCTCAGCTTGATCACTCAAAATCAAATTTTGCGAATTGATATTACTGAACGAGCCATTCTGTAAACGAGTATTCATCAAAATATTTGGCTTAAAGCCGAGATACACTATTGGATTCAATAATTCATCTCCAATGATACATTGATATAGATCTACATTAGTTAAATCCATATTTTGAACAACGCCACCATGAATGATTGATTGAACAAGATAGGCACCGGTAAACTTCGTTTGATAAAGCTGATCGTCGTGAAATTGAGCTTTAGTAACATTGGTATTTTGAAAATTAGCACGTAATAGATCACTCAAAATAAATTTAGAGCCAGCCATCGATGAATTCTCAAATACGGCGTCTATGAGAGTACAACCATCGAATGTGGTATTTTCGAGGTACACTCCGGGTAAATGAAGAAAGGGAAATTCGCATGACTGTGTTGATGTTTGTATGAGTTTCATTCCACTAAAACCTGCCCCACGTATATCAATATTTGGTGTGTGATCGTGTCGAATTAAACGGCTTTCATACAGAAAAATAAAAACATCCCGTTTACGAGCCGGATCAAGATACATCAAAACGGTCAATGTTTGTACTCGAATCTGTAATAGAGACTTGTTGATATTTTGTTCGAAATTTTCATCTAAAAGAAGATCTCTCATATCATCCATATACTCTTTGAAGAGAATCCTTCGATTAGTTACGTCGGCTTGTCGTTGGTCTTGTTCGCGTGTCGCCCTAGCCGCAGCACCTTGTTGTAACGTGAAGACAATCGTAAACACTCCAAAAACAATAGTTGGCAATGCAGCAAGTGCAAGCTTGAATATATTCATACATTTAATTGGCTTTGGCTTCTTACGAGTCACCACATCAGATGACGTTTGTCCCACAGATGATGACACGATTGAATGTTCTCGTTTGAAATCAATTGCATTTTTGCCCATGATTCTTTGAATGATAAAGACACTAAAAAAATCTGAGGAATCAAAATCAAAATCGATATTATCTAAAAGCAATATTGCAGAAAAACTTCTCTGAAAAATTAATTAACACTTTCTATCTAAAAATATGCATTCGTCTAGCTAAATCGCACCTCTCTATTTAGTATTTCAATATCATGGGAGTCGTTCTGACAACTTCTTAGATAGACTTCTTGTAATGTGAAGAAAACGCCGAATAATAACAATTAAAATTATCGTATCACCGATGATCTCATGAAAAATGTTAATATAGTGGCATTATTAATAAGGTGAATATTGACGTGCTAGTCGTACTTGTATTCAAAGCAAATAAACTCGATATATCAGTGGCGATATCAAGTTAAAACCTACAAAACAATATCCCAATATCATTGAATACATTAGATTAGCATTTTTCTTTTTCATAATAGTCGCGATTTCAATCGTGTTAGATTGAAACTACTAGTTATCAAAATACAAAGGTACACTTAGTGTTTTTCGTATGAATCATATTTGCATTATGAAACATTCTGTGACGTCGACATTAATATTCTACCCACAGTTGATTTCCATACATCTGACAATCGCTAGATTGTTTGATACTGTTTTCTAATAAAAAGAACTTTATTAGATAGACTATGTGGTCAAGTAATATAGAATGACTATCACATGTTCGATAATTACCTATCTCAAGTTAAAATATACTCATTTAAATTCATGAGGTTGTCCAGCGAGTAAGATATATGTATGGCTATCACTGTCGAATCCGCCCGCATCCACTCCCCGTTTATCATTACTCTATCACCGATCGAAACAAAGTGATCAATCATGCAACACTGTAATTTGAAAAAACGTCTAGATTTTTATTTTCAAATATGCCTTAGACGACGAAAAGGAAGAACCACACACCAACAATTGCACAAATATGAACAAAATTTATAGACACAACGAAAACAAAAAAGAAATCGCCAGATTGAACAAATACAATACACACACATATACGACAAAACAAAAAAAGAAGAATATTTCATACGTTTTTCGTGATCTGGTTTCTAAATAGATAATCATACAAGAAACAAACTAAGCGTATTTTTATTATATGTTTTACAAACAAAAACAAAGGTTAATTATACAAAAACATCAAAACGACTTATTCAATATGAACAATCGATATGATGGAATCATAGTTAAGTCTTTTTCGGAAAAAGAAAACAATAGCGCAATTATCTTTAAACAGCTGTTGGCGTGACACTTTGCATGTCGCCATGAACTCGAAATCTGTACAAACATGTATAAGCTGGATTACCCCAATTTGATGTTATTTGTACTTCAATATATTCAACAACGGGTACATTAGCAATCTAAAATAGAATAGAATTAGTTATATTGAAAAAAAAACATATAAACGTCACAAACTTGAGGTTTAAATCTTTGAAGTGCCGCACCATTTTCAGCATCATAATTATATCGACCAAGAACAGTACCTTCCTTATCATTTTTATCTTTCAAAGCCTAACAAAAACAAACAGACACAAAGAATATTATTCTTATAATAAAAGATTAAATTTTCTTTTCATTTACATAAACTGTAAAATTATTTGGTGCACTATTTGTATGTCCAACGATAGAAATACTTTTCGATAGATGTTCAAGTACGAATTCAGTTGGTATAACAGGTACAGCCAATCGAATAACTACACTTCCATGATTACCTTTAAACGGAAAACATTGACCAGGCATACGTCCATGCTAGAAGATAAATTTTATTTAAAAATTCAAACAAAAAAATTCAAGAACAAACTTTAATGATTATATCTGGTTGTTTTGACATATGAACAATAGGAATGCCAAGAAATTTCACAACTTTTTGTTGAGGTTCATCTGTATATTCTTCACAGCGTGTATCAACAACTTTTCCTCCTAGAAACAAAAACGATGATGATAGCTTTCATTACTCTTTTCAATCTATTTACCATTAGCTTCTAATGCATAATCAGCTTGTCCAGTTTCATCAGCTGAATATTCTTCGATTAATTTTCGAGCCAACTAGAACAAAAATTTTTATTTAAAAAAAATATTGATTTTCCTTAAGATTTAATTTACTTGAATGAATTCTCTTTCTTGATCAGGTTTTAAAGTATGTCGTCTAGAAAGCAGCAGAAAATTTGTATTTTTTTGTTAGTACCTTCGATTAAACTTACGTTCCAACAACTTTCTCACGTTCTTGTTTAAGTTCTTCGATAAGTTTATTGACTTTTTGTAGGCCGGCTTCATAATATTCCTTAGCATTATCAGTTGTTGTTTCAACAACACCAACAACACGATTTTTAACACCACGAAACGAGCCTAGTAATTTGTTTTTCGTCGAAGAGCAAAAATTGCTTAACGATTTTAATACAGAATTTTTAACATTTATTGTTGAACGATAAACTTTTTGAAGCTTTAGAAGGCCAAGATTATATGTACGAAAACGAGTAAAATCAGTAGTATGTTGAATATTTTGACAAATGGTATTCACTTTTGAATTTCGATTATTTGCAAATGGTTTACAAGCCAAATAAGGTACTAAAAAAAATAGATATAAATAGATTAATAAGAATATAAATAATTGACCTACATGCATAAACAGTAAGTAAAATAATAAGTGGTATAAGTATCCACCAAGGTAAAACTTTGAATTTGTTCCAAACTGTATCAAAAATATCAATAGGTAAATGGAAAGCTTTTTTTAAGCAACAAACAGTTGTTTTACAGCAATTCCTTAAATGTTTACAGCTACCATCATCGTGATGATCTTTTCGGTGTTTTGTTGCTTTACGTTGTTGATGTTGTTGTTCACTCTCATTATCGTGTGGTGTTGAATGAACTGGACGTGAACGAAGATTATAGCCTGTTGCTCGACTACCTGATGCTGATGATTGAGATGATGTACGAATAAATCTTGTACCACCGATTGTCCCTTCACTTGTTGGTGAATCTGGTGTTGATGCTTGTTGATGACCACCAGTAAGTTGACATACACGATCGCAAACAGCACCATAGCCATTGGCTAATTGTGATCGAACGGTACAAAATAGATGACACGGTAATGAGAGTAATGATGCTGTACGATTTTGATCTTCATTATGTAAACTACGACGAGCCATGACGGGAATCTCGTATGTAGTTGTTTGTAATGTAGGTGCATAGGCATTGCTAGAGAGAATAATAAACAATGGATTTAATTTGTCTTAAAAATCGATTCGCTACGATATGAATTATTCGTAAATAGCTTTCATCTATTCGATCTTGATCGTTCGAAGCCTCCTACTGAGATTGACATTTTAGAAGAGAAGCGAATAAATAATTATGTTATATATAATCTACATCGTAGCGAAAGTTGTAATAGAAATTTTCATTTTACTCTACACTTCCGGTAGAGCACATCTGCTTAGGGAATATCAGATAAAGTTGATTAATACAGTAGTGCGTGTATGTGCATCCGGTTGAAGAAGCTTATAATCACCCTTACTAATCAATAACAATAGGCTCAAATAATAAGTACAATATCTGACGACTACTCAACAATCAATGGATTTGATTTCCTCTATTTTAAATACTCACCTATGAGCATATGTATAACTTGTCGATTGGAGATCACTGGAATAAAAAAAAGTAAAAAATTTTGATAAAAATTTAATTGAGGCAAATATTTTACTGAGTAGGTGATTTAGTACTTTCGAGTACTTCTTGTACGCTTCGATTAGCAGCAGCCGATGCCATTCGACGAGTTACTACTGAATCAGTTCGTGCTTCGGTTTCAATATACATTGGTCGGCGAGTTGTTGTCGACGAACTCGTAGTTGTTGTTCTATTCGATGATGATCGAACTTCAGTTATATCATCATCGGTGAGTGTATCAGTCATTGTGTTCAATTTTTTTATTTTTTTTCTATGTTTATTTAAACAAATCTATAAGATTTAACAAAAAGAAAAAACGAATTAACGTCTCATGTTGAACTTCTTTCCTTGTTGTTTCCTCTTTCTGTTCATATACATGCAGCTATATGTTAGCGTCGGTGAACGATATGAACAAAGAACGACCGTTTTGCTCAAGAGAAGAAACAGACGGAAAAGAAGAACCAATATCCTTCTCTCTTTCTTCCTTACGCGTACATGACCATCTATCTCTATCTCGTTGACCATCCATCGAACATAGTGAGGGATTGTACAGACACATGCACAACACATTAAAAAAAAAGGAGAAACGAAAGAAATTGCTAAGTCACATTGAAGTCATTCGTTTCACCAAATCGAATTTTTTTTTCTCATTCGAAGTAAAAAAAACTAACTTGATGATAAATCATCGAGGTTAGACAGATAACATTTTCATCTGCAGTATGTCAAATAAAAAGGTTATGATCAAAGATAAATAATATGAATGAAAAAAAGCTTGATCAGTAGCTAAAAAAGAACTCCGAAGGAAATCAAACTGTCTTAGATTAATAACGTCCTTGGGATTAGTTCAAAAGGAATGGATTCTATGAATAAATTTCTCAGAGAATAAAATATGAGATATTGATTTCTGCACTTTGAGTGGATCAAAGGATTACTTCAGATAGAAAAAAAGATATTTACGAATGCAATCACCTCTTCCGTTTCGTTTTACATATTTGAGTAATACAAAGACATGCCTTCTCTTTCCTGTGGCAAACAACTTGTTTCTTTGCTTAATAGACTACCTGTTTCATGTTACCAGAGTTCATCATGATCGCCAATAGAAGACATTTAGATGATACGCTTCTACTGATCGTATCTGATTTTTTTACCTTGATAAGATCGAATAACTATGCTCTGTAAAAAAATATTTAAAATAAATTGTTTCGTATGGCTACTTCATTTTCAAATAATTAGAATAATTTCGATGAATTGATTTCCGGAAAATAAGCATTAGTTTGGCATCTGTTTTACTAGTTATGATAGATAGGTTTAACCGAATCGAACAGCGGAAATGTGTGAAAAATAGATTTGATTCGATTAACTGTCTCCTAGGATCGATGATATGTACAGAGGAAAAAAAAGACTCTAATACTATTGGCTTACCGTTTAAAATCTTTATTAAACAAGCAAAAAAAAGAGTTGCAACATTCTCTGTCATGTATTGTGACAGCATCTTGTACTATGGACGCAACGAAACATCAATTATACGTTGCATTTACGCATAAAATTTAATTGTGTGAATTCACATGTGTCACATAAAGAGTAGTATGCATAAAAGTGAGTGATGTTGATAGATACGAAAAAGAAAATATTGTGTAATATTGAGACCATGATTACCGAAACAACTTTTCTCTTCTCTCGTACTAACTTTGAGTCAACCAAGTGAACTAACATAGATTGACCTCTACAGACAATTTCTTGGTGTCAGTAAGTGTAAATTGATCGATTTCTCTTTCGCATATGCCACCAAGAACAGATAGACAAAGAACGTTTCGACCAATCAGACGTGAGTTCTTTGTTTCTGTTCTGTCAAGTATGTCACTTACCAAGATATTTCTTGCAAAATCGATGATGTGATGTGTTGAGATCAATGAACAATATTTTCTAGTCTTTCATCAACTCATTAATGTGCATTGATTTTACTGACAACTAGCGACATCAATGCCAGATAATTTCACCATATGATGCGTTCGGAGAATATTCACGGAAACTCGATTAAGTGCTAGGGAACCAAACTTAGCAGATATAATAGATATAGAGATATACAGCATATAGGGAGGAGGGGGGGGGGGGGG